ACGAGGTTTAAAAAGTTCCCACCAGTCATTCACAATAAAGCAAGCGAACTCACGGTCCCAATTTTTCACCGAGTCATTCAATCGGTAGGTGCAACGGGCGGTGCGAACAAACAACGCAAGCTGATGACTTGCAATTCTTAGGAATTCCTCGTTCAAGACTGCAACAGTCTATCCCTAGCGCGATACGCGTTCACAAGATTACCCAGACCTATCGATCAAGGTGGTATACTCGTTGAACGCATCAGTGTAGCGCGCGTGCGGCCCAGTACATCTAAGGATATCCACACCTATCATTGCCTACAGCTTTCTTTGGTTTGATTACTCAAAAGTCCCTCTTAGAAGTCCTCAATCTACCAAAAATGGTAAGCAAAACTATTTAGCACGCGAAGTTCTCTTTGCTAACGGAATTAAGCAGACAAATCACTCCACCAACTAAGAACGGTCATGCACCACCACCAACTAAGAACGGTCATGCACCACCACCAATAGAATCAAGAAAGAGCTCTAAACCTGTCAATTTCTTACTGTCTGGACCTGGTAAGCTCTCCGTGTTGATTCAAATTAAGTCGCAGGCTCCACTTCTGGTGGTGTGCTTCCGTCAGTTCCTTTAAGTTTCAGCCTTGCGATCATACTCCCCCCGGAACCCAAAGACTTTGAATTCTCATACAGTGCTGACAAGGTCATTTAAAGTAAACGACTGCCAATCTCGAGTCGACATAGTTTATGATTATGACTACGATGGTATCTAATCATCTTCGATCCCCTAACTTTAGTTCTGGATTAATGAAAGCATCCTTGGTAAATGCTTTCGCCAAAGCTCATCTTTCAGCGATCCAAGAATTTCACCTCTGACGCTGAAATATAAGTAACCCCAACTGCCCCTATCAATCATTACTCTGATGTGCAAACCAAAGTCATATCTTGTTATTCCATGTATTCAAATGAACTAAGCCCGCTTCAAACACTATATTTTTTTCGCAGTAAAGGATGCAAGCCCACCAGCCCACCAACATAATGGCAGAAAGGCAGCCTCACAAAAAATGCTTCGAACATCCATAAGTACACACTTCTAAAGGAAGCGGACCGGACATCCAAAACAGAAATCCAACTACGAGCTTTTTAACTGCAACAACTTTAATATACGCTATTGGAGCTGGAATTACCGCGGCTGCTGGCATCAGCCTTGCCCTCCAGTTCTCAATTTGCCTTCTCCCGCACACGTGCACAAGAAAAGGCCACCCTTGCGACAGTGTTCAGACCCCATCTGTATACTGTCCACTCGCACCCTCCTTCTGTCTTCGCTTATCCCGCTTCGAAAACCTTCGTGGCGCGGACTTCGCTTGACCTCTCGGTTCAAACGCTGCCCAGCTCTAACCTCGCGGTTTTTGCTGTTTAACGTATACTGTCCACTCTGTGCCTACACTCGCTGCCGTTACCCCAACAAGGTATACGCGCTTTTTTCCTGGACTATTACCCCCGTTTCCTGATATCTAGGGCATATTGCATTCTGATTGAGAGGACTTGAGAGCCACCGTTCAAGGGGTATACGGGCTTAATTTCCTAGTTTAAGGACTGCAGCCGCAATACGCCGTGTATTAAGGTACACTTTACGTTGCGTGGCTCACAGTTGAAACTCTCGAGATTTTGTGTGGTAAAATCCCTCAAAGTCTTCGTTTGCACTTAAACTGCAGTCAGTCACCCGCGTCGACTTTACCGGAGTTTAGAGCCTAAAAGCTAACACTCCATAGTAAAGCGAAAAAAAATCATACTACATTTACATATAAAAGAGAGAAAAAAATATATATACAAAAGATGCCTATTGCATCAAAACTACCACGAGCTTATTACCCTCGCCAAGTCCTAACGGACTAACTCCTCGCCGCCAGTGATGCCGAATTAGCCTCATTAAACTTCGATGCGCTACGGAGCAATGCGCTTAAGCTAGCTCCTACGCCAGTGAATTACACCGTATGTGGATCCTATGCCCTGCAGTAATCCGAAAGAAACATCTGGCGGATTTGTTGGACGAACTGGCAACGGACATACAACCCCAAGTATGGAAGGATGCACGTCAAGCCGGGCTTCTACAGGATTTTTTTATTATCCTTAATGCTAGTGTTCGCTTTACTTATGCGTCTCATTACATGGCTTCGAAATTGAGCCAAGTGTCATTGACTTCTTTGGCTCAACAATCCAAATAGCACGTATTTTTAAATATGGCTCAATTTACTATGTGGATTTGGTTCGACTTCCCGGCGAAGTAACAGATCGAGCCATATTCGACTGGTTTGAATCTCGTGGTGCACCTCCCACATGCATTAAACCAACTTACATGCGTAACGGTCTACCCTCACGTTAACGCACCGTGTATTTTGCACAAAACCAAGCCTCGGATATTTTGGTCCCATCACCAACCGAACCTTTACCGGAAATTTCCTTTCCCCCCCTGCTGATGGCATGGTTAATCTTCGTCCGTGCTATATTAACCACAAGGTGGCACGTTACAACCGGACCACCCCACCATCCATTCGTCTGCATCAAAAACAATTAGCAGCAAAAAGAGCGGCTAAACAAGTGGAGACTACAACTTCAACGACCGAGGCTATCCCTGATACTGTATCCAGGGATTTGCCGACCGCACCTTTACACTCGTCTCTACGTCGGTCGCTTCAGGCGTCCCAGCCTGCAATGAACGGACAGCCGTCTGATACTGATGACGCAATTTTAACATCGGACAACCCTCCAATATATGATGATAGTGATGATGACTCCCAACAAGACCAAGTTGGTCTTAGAAATAATTCTGATCTAATGAATAAAACAATTATTGTACCAGTTTCATCACCCTCCGCCCCAGTATGGACAAGAGCGGCTAAAAATCGTCGAGCCTTATCCGCTATTGACAACCCGAACTCTGCGGACATTTTCTCCATAGAATACGAGGTTAAGGACTTGGACTGCTCGACTCAAACCAAAAAGGTTGTAAGGCTTAATTATTATAGCTCATTGTGGCTTGATGATTTGGACTCTGATACACCTCAATGGCATTTCGATATTGAAATTCATCATTCAGAAAATGATGATGTTTGTTTGGAGAGCACCCCACCATACAAAGGTGACT